CCCCAAAACCCCAAAACCCCAAAACCCCATGATGCACTGTTTTAAGGAATAATGCATTTGTTTGAATTTTATAAATTAATGGATATAACTTATGTTATCAGTTATTAAACTATTATTGAGCGTCCTCATCCTAGAGCCCAGAGAATAAGACTCTATGTGCATTTTCTGACTCTATACGAGGCCTCAAAGAGTATCAATACAATAGGTGATTTTTTCTAATTTTGTATATTCATCATTCTCATATTTATGAGATTCTCTCTGAAATTTTAGCCTATTATCTTGTGCTATATTTTCTATTAATAAAGCTCTCCTTGCTTGATCTTCTCACTGTATTAGTTTGAGTGACATTTTAATTGGATGTAAATTTGAAGAATTGAGAATATTTGTGGAAGCTAGGGGCCATCCAGAAGAAGAAACTTGTCATTGACATAACCATATAAGTAATGTAGGTATATTGGCCTGTGAGTAACATTTTGATGATCTCGTAGGCACCAATCTACTCAGTTTCTTGAACCTCAATCATCTCTTCATCTTAATCATCTTCAAGAGGACTAGCTAAAATGCTTTGCTTTTCATTCATTTTGTTTGAAATAGTCTCATCAAAAAGTAGACTTCTTCCTTTCATTTGAGGAAGGATTTTCTGAAGGTTATTTGTTTATTGTGAAAGTTTAAGGAGGCTAGAAGGATTTGAGATGAAAGATGAACAGCACATCACACAGAAGACAATGGCAAGGAAGAGATAGCCAGAATTTGAGAAGTTACTAGAATTCGATCTTGATCTGGCAAGTCTTAGAGAACTAAGATCATTTTTCTTGCTCAATGATGCTGTGGAGATGATATCTAAATCATCTATGTCTCTAGAGTTAGAAGAGTTAACCATATCAAGTTGATCATCTTCTTGTACAACTTCAAGTTCTCTCTCATGGAGGAACCTTTAGTTGATCTTTCTCAGAAGACTTCTTTAGAATTCCTCTAAATCGTTACGATTAACATTAGGACTAGCTTGATCAAATCCAAGCAATGAAGATTTAGCAAAAACATCTTCGAAATATTGAAGTTGTTTCTTCAGTAGGGCATTTTAGGCAGCTAAGCCAGCATTTTACTCACTCAAGTCCTTCTAAATTTTTTCCATGTCAGAAATTTTATCTTCAAGTTCATCCTAGTAATATCTTTTTCTGAGCCTACTTCTGACAGCGCTCTCTCTATTTTGCATTCTCCTAAAATTATGTGATTAGGAAAATTTGACTTACTTTCTGGCTCTTTTGTATTCATCAGGGTCTTTTACATAATTGAAGACACCGTTTCTATCAGCAATTATTTCTTAAAGGTACTCTTTCTTTTTGTTTGTAAGCTTCTCATAAGACATATCAAAGTCTCCAGAGTCATCATACGAATTACTGTTTGAGATAGCTTATTGCTATTTCTTATTTTTGGCATTTTTCTTATCTTCTTTAGCTGCAACTTATTATGACTTCTTGTTTGAAGCAGCTTATTATTCTTTGGATTATTTCTTGGTAAGCTCAGGCTTAGATTCAGCTTATTCCCTGTGATTAATGATTAATAATTGAATTAATACTTACTTTTTCTTGAGCATTTATTTTGATTCCTATTTCTTAATCCTTTTATTGGTTTTGGTCAGGCTATCTGTTTTCTCAGTTATTGTATTAAGAATCTAGGATTCTAGAGTTAGACTCTATTCATTAGCCACAGAACTTGTATTATTCAAGGATTCATCGTTTTTAAAGCTTGAGGCCTTTCCGCTGCTTTAATTTGAGAGTTTAGAGGAGAGGCTGTTGATATTGTGAGAGGTATCACTTTAAGTTGAAGATAAGACTGCACCTCTTGGTACTCTCCCGAAGCCTGCTGAGCCAATCTGGGCTGAGTTATTCAGTTTAAATTTCTTGGAAATAGGTACCTCATAGTAAGAATTTCCTATTAAATAAGCTGATTAAAAGATACCTCGTGAAATAAGAGTGGGAGCGATGTTTGCATCTTCCCATGGAGCTTGATTTTCGTTGATTCCGAACTCTTGATGTCCGGTAAAATCGATAGAATTTCCGAAATTAATCTAGCTCTCATTTAGGAGTTCTAAATCCTATTTTTTAGGGCTTAGACAAGTCTGATTTTGGTCGAACAGGCCCATGAAATCTTCTTAGAATTCGTTATTGTTGAAAATATGAGTCATTTTAAGGTATAGAAATTTGTCTAGTCAGAAAATGTATTTGAGAAATTATTAATATATTAATATTTTAAAAACACTCCCACCTATATAGCTTTTTGATAGTTAACTATTTATATAAAATTTTGAATATTTTTAGCTCTTGATAAATTCTTGATTTTTATTCTATGGGGTTTTGGGGTTTTGGGGTTTTGGGGAGATC